TGTAAGAAAGGAAGAAATTCAATCAACTCAATAGATGAGTGGCTACATCCTAGTCCCAACCACATCTATGAGGACCCATCATGTGATTACAACACACTAACAATGGAAGAAAAGAGAAAAAGTTCACCTCTTACATAAATTTCTTGGTTTTCAAACTCCTTCCTAGCACCCTCAAGGTCCTTTGGGATAGCTTAGAATCCTCAATAAGGACCTCTAAACCCAAGCTTTAATGGTGTTTAGGTGGTGTGAGTAAGAAAAGTGGAAGCTGAAGATGGCTTATAGGAGTAGGAATGTTTTGCTCTGAAACAAGTCTCTTGGCCTTTTGGAAATTTTGTAACACTAAGAAACCAGACTGAGTCATGTTTATATAGAGTTTAAGGATGAAAATATGTAAGATATTAGTGTAAAATTTACAAAAAAAAGTTGAATTTTTCGAAAATGCTCTGTACTTAGATAATTCAACTAGCCGTACCATTATTCATTTGGCCGAATACATTTTTCATCTGACTATAAACAATTATACGGCTAGTGAGAAAAATGTACCATTGGATCAATAGTGTAAGGCTAGCATAATTTGAAAAGAAGAACAAGTATTTCCAGAGAATTCCATTATTTCATTCACTCACTCTCTCCTTTGCTCAGTTTATTGAAAACAATAATGTTTGGAGTTTTGAAAAATGTGACCCTCAGAACATTGTGGAAACGTTTGGAACCATGCAACCCAAAATATTTGGAAAATGCTTTTAAGAGGATAAAAAATGGCTTTGGCCAAGACAGGTATAGATTGGGATAGCTGCGATTAAAGCTTGAATTTTTGGTTTTCCTGCTAAGGACTTCAAAAGATTGCACATTCCAACTTTCATCATTTGGTGCTTGGGAAAGAGCACCCAAGTCTTAATGTCTATCAAAATAGGGTGTCTACACTCCTCTTTGACAGAACTCAGTGCATTATTTGATGATCTGAGTGAATGTCAAAGCCTGAAGACAGCTCTTTTGACGAGGCTGTAAGACTTTAGGCAAAAAACAAAATGAAGATGCAATTCATTGAACTCGTAGGTTGCCTACATATCTCTTTATAAGGAATCGAACCAGTGTAGTTCAGGGATAGGATGCACATGACGTGCTCGAAATGCAATTGAAAGTTAGACTAACATGCTTCGCAAGGCTGGTTGTTTTGAAAGTTGGGCTTACGTATAACACACTGCCAAATTGAAATCTTGATAATGCAAATGCAATGTAATGGAATGGAATATTGATAAAGCTGCAAAGATGGTAATGAATGAGACAAGTCTTGAGATGCGATCCAAATGCGTTTCGCGCGAGAGGAAGAAAAGAAGAAGGTCGCAGCCAAAACTTGCATGTGACCAGCAGTCACAGCAATAGGAAACTCTAATCCTGACTGATAGTCAACAAAGTTGAGCCTTAAGATGCACAATCCAGATACGCTACGTGTGAAAGGAGGAGAGTGGCCTTAGCCAAAGCTTATATGTAACTGGTAATCACAACAATAGGGAACTCCAATCCTAACTGACAGTTAACAAAGGTGAGCCCTAAGATGCATAATCCAAAAGTGCTATGCGTGAGACGAGGAAGGTGGTTGTAACCAAAACTTGCATGTGACCGACAGTCACAGCAATAAGGAACTCCAATCCTAATTGGCAATTAACAAAGGCCACCCTAAGATGCATAATCTAAATGCACTACACACGAGAGGAGGAAGGTGGCCTCAGCCTAAACTTGCATATGACTGGCAGTCACTATAATAGAGAACTCCAATCTTGACTGGCAGTCAACAAAGACGAGCCCCAAGATACACAATCTAAACACGCCACACGTGAGAAGAGAAAGGTGGCCATAGCCAAAACTTGCATATGATAGGCAGTCATAGTAATAAGGAACTCCAATCTTGATCGACAGTCAGCAAAGGTGAGCTCCTAGATGCATAATCCAAACGTGTTAAGTGCAAGAGGAGGAAGGTGACCGTAGCCAACACTTGTATGAGATAGGTAGTCTGTGACAACCCTCACCTCTGATTTGTGCTAAACTGTGATTGAGCATGATAAGTAATTGATTAAGTTGAAATTCTGGACTGATTGCATGAGTGTATTGTTTTAATTGCATTTTCTATCTGTTTGCCATTTAATGATCTGTTCATGTTTTAATTTCGAACTACAAATTGAAGGCCTTATCGGCGACTGAATCTGAAATTGATTAGTGTTATATGCTAATTAGAATTTATGTGATTTTATGGTAAATTTAATAAAAATTTGATTTGCTATGATTAAATTGGATTAAATAATGTTAAATTACATTAGTTGGGTTTATTACACTTTAGCCATTGAGTGGCCTTTCTCTACAACATTGTTTGGGACTTGATTAGAGCTTTTGATACATTATCTCATCCACCTCCAAGACCAAAACTGAGTGAGAGAAAGGGAGATAGGAGAAGTTTGGTTTCAACAAGAAATTTGGCTTGGAAAATTTGAGGAATTGTAGAAGATTGCAAAATTGGGCTTCCATACTTAGAATTCAAGACTTAAGGTAGGGAGTTCTTCATCTTAATTATAAATTTGAGTTATTTCTTGCATGGTTCACGGTAAATTGGAGATTAGAGCCAAGATATGGCTTAAAGAGTTATATTGAGAATTAATTCATGTATGCATGTACACATTCTTGAATTTTGAGGTTGTTTTCATAAGGATTTCAACATGCATGTCCATATTTTGGTTATAGTCCATGAATTCACCATGATTTTGAGCTCAATCTTGCATTTGATCTTGTTTTGAAACATTAGAGTTCATGGGAACTCATCCATGTTAAGTTCTTGTTTTGTTCTTCAAGCTTCTTTGAAATTTGTGTTTAATTGACTTATCTTTGGGCTTTGATTTTACAAATTGATCTTTAAAACATGTTATATTGTTAGTTTTCAAGTGTTTTCTAGAAAATTGGCCCAAAAGGTTGAGTTTTGATGTGTTGAATGCTTGGTTTGAGCTTTGAAGGCAAATATGGAAAACCCATAATTTGGTTTCCTAGCTCGAGCGAAGGATTTCACGCTCGAGCGACCATCTTTTGTTCAGAGCTCCGCTCGAGCGAAGGAATGCTGGCTCGAGCGTAAATTGCAAGCTCTCAGGTTTTTAGTGCACGCAGATGCACGCTCGAGCGACAAGACCTACGCTCGGGCAAAGAGCTGTGTCTCACGCTCGAGCGAGCATTGAAGGAAGATTTTCAACAACCAGTACTTTTTCATTTTTACAGACCGCTCAAGCGAAGGAGTTTACGCTCGAGCGACCCCTCTATTTTGGTAAGCTCGCTCGAGCGAAGAAAGCCACGCTCGAGCGAGACCCCTGTTTTCAGCAAATTTTGAAAAGTGTTTTAAAGTACATCTTTGCATCCTCATTCCATCCTAGGCATTCCTAGGCCATGTTTAAGGCATCTTAATGAGGATATTGATATAGAACCACATCAGGTCAAGTTAGGGGTTAAGTTATTAAACCCAAGTGTGTAACTTAGTGTGTGTTCGTTCTACAACTGTAGGGTTGGCATCCGAGGACGCTCATTAGCTTGCCTATAGCCCAGTGCTCTGTGAATAACGATGTTGTGAAGATATGTTCAATTATGATTATTTTCTGAATGATCGATTGTAATGTTTTCTGAAGTGATATTGTTTACCGAATGAATGTTTGTCCTATGTTCTGAACTATACTTGTGGCATCCATAGCAACTACTGTTACTGTTACAGAGATCTCTGTCAGTTCCTATCCTTGGAACTTCTGTTTACTGTTATGATGGCCATCAATTGACTGTTTGGTCTAATAAGACCTACTGTTTACTGTACTGTTCTGCTATGGGATGTACCATATATAACCACTATGGTTTCTAAATGACTGTATGGCATGTAACATGAGCCACTGATTGAATAACTGTTCCACAAACGCAATTGACTGCTTTAATTACTAAAAGGACATTCATTCTTAACCCCTTTACGCATTTGTTATTCACTGGGCTTTAGCACACTGTTTATATTTATATGTAGGTGTCCAGGCACCGGACCAGAGCTAGGAGCGTCGGGTTAGCTCATGTTTTGTCAATCCAACCTTTGTGCCTCACTTTGAGGTTCCAAGTCTGTTCAAGCTAAGGCTATTCTTGAGGTGTTCAGATTCACCCTTTTGTTTCTGTTTTGTAATAGATGAATAAGACTTGACTGTACAGTTATGGTGAAGGGATTCAATCCCTAACCTGAATGTGTGTATATATGACGTCTGTATATATGTTTTGGTTATGAATGTGGCTTGTACATAAAAGTCTTTTTGCATTCAGATTGTCAGCTCATTGGACATCTTTCGTTTACTGTTTGGCTTCCACCAGCCCCTTTACTCTGTATTACTTTCATTACTGTTAAGTAGGCCTTTGGTAATCACGGATTACTGGCCGGTTGCAATGTTAAACCCATAAGGGCGGGTTTGGGCCGTGACATAGTCACAGCAATAGGGAAATCCAATCCTGACCAGTAGTCAACAAAGGTAAGCCTAAAATGAACAATCCGAACGTGCTATGCATGAGAAGAGGAAGGTGGCCACAACTAAAACTTGTATATAATTGACAGTCACAATAATAGAACACTTCAATCTACCAAACAGCCAACAATGGTGAGCCCCAAGATGTACAATCCAAACGTGCTACGCACGAGAGGAGGAAGGTGGCCACAACCAAAACTTGCATGTGACTGGTAGTCAAAACAATAGGGAACTCCAATCGTGATCGACAGCCAACAAAGGCGAGCCCAAGATGCACAAAGAAGAAGTGGTCGCAGCCAAACGAAAACAGTCCCATGCACATTTCATGTGCAAAGGATGAATGTAACAACGTAAAACATGTGATGCAATAAATGCAAGTGCGATGGATGCACAAAGAACACAAAACAGCAAATATGGCAAGCATTGCGATGAACGCACCTAACTAGTTCGAGGATAGGCCTACAAGCTACGTCCTTAAGAAGCAATATTCTTCAAATACCTTAGGAAGTTTAACACTTTAGAAACCAACTCATGATTCATGGGGGTGGTGCGAAGGTGACCTTATTCTCATGGTGGGAAACACTGATTTCTGATTTAGGTTTTGCTAGGGATTGAGTCCGAATCATGGATGACCTTTACTCAAAAGATGACAAATAATAGCAGATATGCATTCCTAACTTTCGTACAAACTTTGATGATAGGTTGTAATAGTTTTCCTTGGCTAGATGATAATTAATTTAGCTTGATGAAAAACTAGCTGGTTGGACAAGTCGAGTGATGCTGGGGCAGTTATGACTTTTCACCTTCGAAAGTTTATAAAAAGGCGTGAAACCATCTGAATTTAGTTTAGTCTCGCCCGAAAACAGTTTCAAAGCTCTCTGAACCATTGCTTATCACATACTATGGATGGAGATGACTTCCTTCCTTTTGCTCCCAACTCTCCAATTAGTTTTGATGAGCACAATACTGGATAGAGACAGCTCCTCGGTGACAATATTGAAGAGGCTCTTGTCTTTGCCATTATAGAAGACTTGGACATGGAGCTTGCGTATGCCATGGTACACGGTAGAAGCTATAGTAGGGGCCGGGGTAAAACTTAGAGCCATGGTAAGGGCCGTGGACAAACGGTAGGCTATGGACGTGTTTATGGCCGTTGGTACAGGCCAAGCCAAGGCTCCAGTGAAGGCCGAAGCCATTAGACGTAGACGCGGACGAGGACCCTTACCTCCAAGGCCCCTACCTCTACACTTTCCAAACCTTCCTGATAACGTTACTCTTTTGATACTCAAAACTGGTTCATTTCCCAAACAACTCATGCTTTTTGTTCTCTATTTGATGGCTTATTTTGTTTTGTTTTATGTCTCTACTTGTTTCACTCATGAACTTGCTTTTTCTGCATAGCTATGGCTTTACTCATACTTTCTCGATATTTCTCCTATTCTTGTGGAGGAGATTGAGTGGGCAGTACCCCGATCATTGTACTTTGATGGCTCACTTTGTCCTCGTCACTGCCATACCTGCGGCTTTACCTACTACAACCGGTTCTTCAACACTATTATTGCCAAATGGGTAACTGGAACTCAAACTGATCTTTGTTCCTTCTATATTTCTTTATCCACATAGTTCAGTATTCTCTGTTTACAGATTGATTGGCATCCATGGATGACCATGCCTCATGCTATGAGAGAGATACACGGTGTCTTGGGCGACTTCCTGGATGAGGATCCTTCTGGAGGACCCCTTCTGCAGATTGTGGTATTTAGGAGAGCATTTCTCGCACCAGAGATAGGGCTAGCCTGCTCCAAATGTACTTTTTCACTGCCTTCTTGCGGACTCACATCATGTCTCCTCTCACCGAGGGCACTGCTCGTGTCCTTGGAGCTGGCATTGCTACTACTGCTGTTGCCTCTACCATCCTCTCGAGCTTCTTGAGACGCGCGTGCTTACATTGCCCTGGATGTGGAGCAGATATATACATCTCTTGTAATTTTGTCAGTCATTTCTCATTGCTTTATTCTATTACTGATGTTCTCATTCTACTTGCAGACCCTAATAACCAGAGCCTCTGGCTGATCGAGACATTGGTTCATATGGTACAGAGGAGACAGTACGCTCTTGCCTCTGTCGGGATTCAGGTGTCCCACTTTTCAATCTGATCTTTACTTTCCATGCTGTTTGTCTATTCTAATTTACTCTGATTGATTGTTTTCAACTCAGTACTAGCCACTCTGATATTCTATAGCCAATTTATAATATTATGGCCAATTTTGTTTACTTCTTTTACATACGTAATTTAAATAGTTTTTATTTTTTTATCTTTTCAAAAAAATATTGCGTACTTTTTGAAAAAAATGTTCTGTTATTTTATTTTTTAGTTTATAAAATTTTTTTATCTACATATTTTTTTTATTTTTTTAAATTATTTAATTATTTATTTACGTCCGAAGCAGCAGAGTCCATATCACACCATTTATATGCACTGTTAACCTTGAACCCTTCTATTGAATCAGCTTTCCATTTCACAGAATCCTCTTTCTCCAAGCCTATCCTAGGCCTTGTTCCCAACAAATCAATAAGTTTTACCAACTCATCTTCTTCCCAGGCATGTAGATTTCTTCTAAAACTAAAGCACCACCGGTCAAAGCTGACATTTCTTGCAATCTGCTCATTTAGAGAAGCCTCCTTTATTCTATATATATATCTAAATTATAACAAATTATTTGGTCAATACTTAAAAAAATAACAAAATATTTTTTCAATAAAATAAAAAATATTTATTTTTCAAAAAGAAAATAAAAAAATATTTTTTCAAAAAAATTAAAAATATAAAATAATTGGGTAAATTATCCTTACATCCCTTGAGATTTACCATAATTGCAAATACATCTCTTATAGTTTCAACAATTACACTGACGTCTCTTACTTTCCAAAATAATACCAAGATTCCCCCTCTCTTTAAAAAGGCCCAAACAATGTTAACTTGCTAGTAAAAATTACCATAGTACCCTTCAACAACATTGTGAAAAGACAAAAATAACCTTAACTTTCGCATTCTTGTTTTATAACTTTCATGAATCAGATAGATATTCATAAAAAAAAAAAAATCAAACGCCTATATGTATTTTTAAATTTTTATTCAAATTGTAATTTCTCTAAATAGATATTTTTCATATACAAAAATATTCAAATACCTATATGTATTATTTTTATTAAAAATATGTATCTTTTCAAATTTTTATTCAAACTCTAACATCTCAAAATAGGTATTTTTTTGACATAATTATTTTATTACTAATTATTTCTATGCATAAAGTATAAATTGATGGTCTTTTAAAAAATAAAAATCGACATCTTATATATATATATAGGAAAAATCTACAATGTGCACCTTATAAAAGGGCATATGATATGCACTTACTCTATGGCCCATATCGTGCCACATCATAAATAATGACCTGCTAAACCGGTCATGTAACAGGTTACAGAAAGAATCATAACATTCATTGTAATATCATAACAATATTACAATGAATCATAACAATGTCATAATATTCACCAAGTGTCATAACAAAGACACTATAAATCATAACAATATGATAACAACTCATAACAAATATAGTTATTTGTAATTAATTATCATAACATTTGAATCGTAACATTTTTTATTATGATTCACCATGGCAAATCATAACTTTTGGTGGTACAAATCATAACTTTTAGTGACGATTCATAACCGTAACACATTGAGTATAACTTTTTTTCCCACAATCATAACGACATTAACAAACTATCATAACTTTCATCAATGAATCATAACATGGCATGTTGATTATAATTTTGTCCCAAAAATCATAACAACATTAACAAAACATCATAACTTTTAAATTTTCAAACACAATTGATTGTGTAATCAATTGGTATAGCATATTGGAGTGAATGGAAAATCGTAATTGATTGCAAAATCGATTGGATTGAAAGACCACAATTGGAAAATCGTAATCGTAGACTTTTCCACGAACATTCCTAGCTTTTAAGGATATCAAAAGTAAATCCAAGTGCATAAATGATTTTCACATAATCAGTCACAGATGTAAGACAAAGGATGAGTCCCACACACGGTCGACTTCACACGTGGAATCCATATTTTGTTTTACGCTATGTCTCTTTCTATGAAAATTTCCTGTGTTCATACAACAGCTAATGCTGAAATCCCAAATCAATGTGCTTTCTAATGATAAAAGGCGACAGATACCTTTCAAAGCAACTATATCAAATGTGAACAATATGTCTTTTGTGACAATGGAAACCTACAACGCTCAAAAGTTCATAGTTATCCAAAACACCATCTATAAAAACAAAAGCAAAAATGTCAATAGTTGTCAATTGTGCCGCATTTTCTCTTACAAAGTCATAGTTGTCATACCAAGTAATCTGACTATGAAGATTCCTTGAACCAATACAACATTCTCATAAATCTTATAAATACCCAAAATTGGATAACTCTTACAACACTTCACCTTTCTTGGCTCAAAGGTTTTAAGTATTTTGTGTTCAATCTCTCTTCATATTGTGGTCATGTTGTCTATGTTCTTCAGGTTCTCTCTTTGCAGCAAAAACCATAGCTAATCCTTCTCACGATATGAGCTTCGCAATCCTTCTACTATATATACAAACGTGAAAGGGGCACTTTGAAGAATGGGAAGCAAGAATCGATACAGGAAATGGGGGTTAACAAAAGAGGATTTCGAAGAAGGGAATCAAAACAACTATCAAAGCAAACAAACATAAAAAACCCATAACCAATGTTTGTTTTCCAAATATATATGAGATTAGGATGGAATTGTCTCAATGGCTCTCTTGTTCTATTGAGCCAGTTAAATCAATGGCATGAAAAATGGTGGTCAAAAAAATATCGGGCAATATACATGATATTACAAGAAATGTTGTTGTACTTGATTAGAGGTAAAAAAATGAGTGTATTGGAGTTCTATTTTGATTGGAGACAATGATGCAAGGGAAATTGAGAGAGTTCACCAACTTTTTATGATTTGTTGCATGAGTAACAAGACATAATTAATTTGAGGAGCAAGGCTACTAGTGAATCTACTACGAGTTCAAATCAATGTTAGTAAAAGTGTGAGGCACACTTAAGCACAAAGACCTCCTAGGCCCTAAATGCAAAGTTCAAATTCAAGCCTGATTGACATAAAATCAAATTTTTCAAAAATAATGTATTATGACAAACGATTCATAATACATAATAAATAAATAAAAAGTTATAGAAAATCAAATAACAATATATTTAACCTTTTAGCTAACCTCTCCAAAATACTGATAAGGTTGTGTCAGCAAGAATCGATACAGGAAATGGGGGTTAACAAAAGGGGATTTCGAAGAAGGGAATCAAAACAACTATCAAAGCAAACAAACATAAAAAACCCATAACCAATGTTTGTTTTCCAAATATATATGAGATTAGGATGGAATTGTCTCAATGGCTCTCTTGTTCTATTGAGCCAGTTAAATCAATGGCATGAAAAATGGTGGTCAAAAAAATATCGGGCAATATACATGATATTACAAGACGTAAAAAATTAAACACAAACAGTCACTAAAAAAAATCAATCCCAAACAACTCTTTAGTAATCATGGTGATTCGTTTACTAGAATTTGATGAATTATTCATTCATTTAGTGTTTTACTTGATGTTATGCAATATTTCATTTAGTGTTTTACTTGATGTTATGTAATATTACAACAAATATGCAAGAAATTAAATGTTATTTTTATTGCTGTTACAGCCATGGCTTCATTCCCTTACTTTGATTTAGTCATCAACTACAAAGGCAAAGTGGGCAGAGAGAGTTTGGAGGGACAGAAATAAAGTTTATTGGAAATTTGGAAGAAAATGGTTATAGGAGTGTAGAGTTAATTTATAAAGGAGGTGAAGGGTATTTTGGCTATTTAGGTGTTTATTTTTTACGATGCCACTTTATTTGATTACTTTTGCAACGTCTTTCTAACAAAAGGGGGAAATATGGTATTGTTTTGTAAAGTAAGGGAGGTTGGTGTAATTATTGAACTAAAAGAAAGGTATCTACAATTATGGTAAACTCAGGAGAGGTAAGTAATTTACCTTTTAATTAATGGTCAATCAAAACTAATGAAATTGTGCCTTCTACGTGTAGAAGAAAAACTAATTAAAAAAAGAAATGTAAAAGAATGTACAAGTTAAGATTATTTTCGTCTTTTCATAATGTGATTGAAATGCACTATGGTAATTTCAATAGCTATAGTTTGGGAAGTTAGTTTGGTTGGGTTAGGGGCTAAAATAGTTTAAAAAAATAAAATAAGTTATTTGAGCCATAAAAAACAAAATATCAAATCCAACCCATAATCATTACACTCATCTCTAACAAAAAAAGTCAATAAAGCTAAAAAACCAAAAAGTCCTTCCCAAACCAAGCTTTTTAGTCCCAGGCTAAAATAGCCAAAAAGTCAAAAAACTAACTCACTTCTCAAACGGAGGCTAAGCTAAAAAGCCAAAAAGCTAAATGTCCTTTGGTACATTTTAACAAAAAAAGGGGAATCTTGATATTATTTTGAAAAGTAAGGAACGTCAGTATAATTTTTGAAATTATAAGGAATGTATCTGCAATTATGATAAATTTTAGGAAAGGTAAGTATAATTTACCCAAAATAATTTGAATGAACAAAATAAAAAATATATTTTTTTTTGATTTTTTTTTAAAAAATTTATTATTATTTTTTTGACATAACAGCAAATCGCACAAAAAAAAGTTTTGAAATCAATTTTAAAAGGTAAATTTTTAAAAATGTTTTGAAAATTAAAAATTTATTTAATTATAAAATTTGAAAAAAATTTAAAATAAATTTTAAAAAATCATAACTAAATAAATTTTGAATTTTTCACTATCAAATTACAATTCAAAAACTAAACAAAATGGTATCTTGACTTTTCTGCTTTTGTTCACGTTAAAAGCATTTGCCAAACGGTTTTATGGCATAAAAAAATAAAAAGTAAAAAAAAAAAAAAAAACTGAAAAAATAAATAAATAATTTCTTTTCTTACTTCCAACTCATCCTATCGTAGTCCATGTAGCACCAAATAGGCCTTTCATAGGACTATGACAGGATTAATAGGACAACTTTTGACAGCAAATAAGACAAATTTTGGAGCAATCTCTACCGTGCGAAAAACTCAGATTACAAATAAAGGGTTGTTTTGGGAAGATGGTAAAAAGTAATTTTTTGACTTTTAATTAAGTTTTTGGCTTTTTAGACAAATGATTTGGAAAGTTGGTAAAAAGTGACTTTTGACTTTTTTCTTTTTTTATTAATGTTTGTTTATGATGTCAAATCATAATAAAATGATCAAACTGTTCCCATTTATTTAAAATATTTACAATTTCACTTATGTAACACATTTTCACCAATGAGAGGTAAAATTGTAATTTTACCGTTGGCTAAAAACCAACTTCTCAAATAAAAAAAAAAGACAAAAAAGTCAACTTTTAATTTTTGCTACTAACCAAAAAAAGTGACTACAAACCATGTTGCCAAAATAGGCCAAAAGGTTTGTTTAACATATAATTATCATCTAAGATTTTAAAAATTATAAATATTTTAGAATAAATTATATTGACACCGATTGAGATTTATATTTATTACAGTTTCTTCTCTCATCGTTTGAAAATTGCATATGCTTCACTGAGGTTTAAGGTTTCGTAACAGATTCCTTCCTTCAGTAATTTAATTTTTTTAAATACCAATTTTGCCCCTTCACTGGGTAAATTACATTGACGTCTCTCATATTTTAGAAATTACAATCCTCTCCCTATGGTTTAAAGTAGCATTAGCAATTACCCCCTCGGTTAATATTAGTTAAAAAAAAAATTTATTGAAAAAAAAATTATTTGAAAAAAAAATTTGTTAGTAAAATTTTTAAATTTATGTTGAAAAACCAACGTAAACTTATTTTTTGAATTTACGTTTTTCCTCAAATTTACAAATTGAGACAATCATTTATAAACTAAAACAATTATCAAACAAGTTTTTATGACAGTTTTTTAAATTTTTATAAATATAAATTGAAAAATAAAAACCAAATGGTTATCAGATGGTAAAAATGTCGTAAAATTAACAAATAATTAAATAAGTTATCAATGTAAGAAATGACTTATATGTATGGTTTGATTTTTAGAATTTTTTTTTAAAAAAATTTAAAATTAATTTGGTTAAGAAATAAAAAATAAAAAAACAATTATAATTTTTATATAATTTTTATTTTTTGAATGGTTAGAAATAATTTTTTACAAATTAAATTGAAACAGCCATACGTATGTATATAACGTGCCCAAAAGTTAAAATGATAATTATTTTTTACCCATAAATGATAATTATTTTTCATTTTTTATTTCTTAACCAAATTAATTTTTAATGTTTTAAAAAAATTTCTAAAAATCAAACCATACATAACCTAAGAATCTTTTGATAAGTCATTTCTTACGTTGATAACTTATTAAATTATTTGTTAATTTTACGACATTTTTACCATCTGATACATGTTTGGTAACTATTTCATTTTCAGTTTTCAATTTATATTTATAAAAATTTTAAAAAATATCATAAAAACTTGTTTGATAATGTTATTGGTTTATAAATTGTTGGCTCAGTTTGTAAATTTGAAGAAAAAACGTAGATTCAAAAAATAAGTTTACATTATTTTTTAAACATAAATTTAAAAATTTTACTAACAAAATTTTTTTTCAATTAATTTTTTTCCAAATAATTTTTTTTTCAATGAATTTTTTTTCCAACTAATACTAACCGGGGAGGGGGGGCAATTGGTAATGCTACTTTAAACCTTAGGGAGGGGATTGTAATTTCTAAAATGTGAGGAGTGTGAATGTAATTTACCCAGTGAGGACAAAGTTGATATTTAAAAAAATTAAATTGCTGAGGGGGGAATCTGTAATGAAACTTTAAACCTCAAGAAGGGATATGTAATTTCTAAAAAGTGAGAGGGGGAACTGTAATAAATATAAATCTCAAGGGGTGTTAATGTAACTTACCCAATATTTTATTATCAGAATTTATAATTTAATTCAGTTAAGAAAAAATAAAATTTTTAAATATTTTCCTATACAATAAAGAAATTATTAAAAATTTTAATTGAAATATATTATTGATATTAGTAAAAAAATATTAATTGATTTAATGATTGATTAATAAAAGAAATTATTTGTTATGCAATTAGAATTTTTAAGAAGCGCCATAAAATTTTTAAAACTATCAAGGACAATAATAAAATGGATTTTTTTTTTATGCGATTACAAATTTTAAGATGGGAGATATAATTTTTAGATTTATGTGGAACAATTAATATTTTAAATAAATCTCAGAAAATTTATTTATAATTTACCTTATTTATTATTACCAACTCTCTTTTTACCTTTTTACACTGAGAACAAAGCTAAAACAACTTCAGTTAATCAGCTAGATATTAACTCAAAACTCTCACAGCCTCCGCTAAACAGTTACATAGCAGCATCAAGGATGAGAATAACATTTCTGCTACAAAGCTGGAATGATAGAGCAATGCTAGAGTTACAAAAAAAAATTCTACTAAAAAGTTGACCAAGCACGCATGTGCGTGTTTGATAAATTTTTTGAAATTTATAGTATTTTTTAGAATGATTAGTAACAAAAGTCTCTATAGCCAAAAAGACTCACGCTTTATTCTATTTATATTTTTCTGATAATTTGCAGTCTTGTACTAAACCCATTTCCATGATCAAATGAAGAAAACAAAAGAAATAGAGCAACAACAAATTATACCTGTAGTAAACTTTATTATTTATATTATATTCTTAATATGTCTCCTCACGTGTGACCGAGGTTTTCTTCATAACAGGTCAAACACGTGGTTACATTATTTATATTATATTCTCAACATGCCTTTCTTAACCAGTTCCACCAAAAACAGCCTTGAGCTTCTTGACCTGAGCATGATCAAGGAAAGTTACCTTCTCCACCAATGCAGAAGGCAAATTGTTGCCAAACAACGCAAAATCAGTGATTTGGACACCCGGGCTTGGGCTATTGAAGCCAACAATCGCAAGAGCCGATGTATTTCCAGAATTAAATTGAAAATGCAATAACCCTTGTGGGAAAACCATAACATCCCCTTTGTAAAGAGTTCTAAAATAAACAGTGTTGGCCGAAGAAGATATGAATCCGGCACAAATTGTTCCTTCCACCACAAATAGGATTTCTGAACCTCCAGGGTGCGTGTGGATTGGCACAACTCCATCCACGGCTAGATCTATACGTGCCATGGAAAGGCCAAGCCCATTCACACCCGGAAATTGATCTGCAAATGCTGGTGTAACCGCAGCTTTGATAAAATTGCTAGTGTTACCAGTAATGGCTAATGCTGAATAAACAAAATCATTAACCGTCACATTAGCAGGTTTCTTGCAAGAGTAGCCAGCAGGTCCATCGGGCATTGACAAGTCTGCCACACAGAAGTCTAGCACTGAACTGTGAGAGTAGGAGAAGAGAAGCGAAACGACAAAGAGGATTGGAAGATACATTTCCATCTCCAAGAGTAAGGGAAATTTTTTCTAAGAGTTGGTTGTGTTCAATATGGGGACATACTGTACCCATTTATATAGAATTTGAAAGCATGGATATTTTGTTTGGAGCATTCCTATTGGTTGTTAGAGATATGTGATTTTAAATGAATACGCTAAAACACGACAGATTATGGGCTGTGATGCACGTGAGCGTACTATTGTTTTTTTTTTTTTTTTTTTTTTTTTCAGACAACGATAATAATACTCTTTTTTGTTTGAAAATGCAGAAACACAGTGAGGAAGCATATTCTGCCTAGTCAAAAAGATATTCATTTAATCAACAATTCATGCACTGACATATGGTTGATAATTAGTATACTACTTTGTCAATCAATTTTAGTGTGCGCCAAACAAGTTTGGCCCGTTGGCTACTTATTATGATGTTGTCATTGCTCAATAACGTCAACTGTACGGCATATGAATTTCATCCTATTCTATACTGAACCATAGGGATTTTGGTCAATAGGGATTTTGGTCCCTTTACTTTTCAATCTGTACCATCTTGTATTTTAAACAATTGTTTGATGATGTCAAGGGCTCCTTGTACCCCAGGAATGTAACTGAACCTCAATATTTTATCTACAGATACTTTTAAAACCCGTCCCCCA